GCATACAAATTGGACATAACAAGTCCCTGTCGACCTCTGCCAGTCCTTTCTCATGCACTGGACAACCCATGTTACCGCTGCCTAGATCTGCCAAATCCCTGATGCTTGACTCCTTTGGTTCTGGTTTCACTACCGGGACTAGAGCCCCAGTTGAACACTGCTCCATTCTCTCTCTCTCTCTATACCTTTTCTTGAGCCCCAATTAACCACTACTGCTCTTCAGGGACTAGAAATCAAAACTTTTACATATTTCTTATGTGAACTAAGAAACAAAATGTGTCGATTCAGTTATCATACTCAAAGATGTAGTCATTTGGGGCAATTCTAACATTTATAGCATATGTTACACATTTTACTAAATAATCAAATAGCAGGCACTTCTATGACCTTAAGCATGCTTACAAGTTCTAAAATCAAATACACGGAAAGTGAAAAGGATTTCGAACATATATCCCCAGTAGCAGTAAGTATTGCAGAGTACCAAAAATATTCAAAACAAAAGCAGGAAATTAAAGAGATGCAAGTGCTTGAAACTTACCAAATGACCAATGGTGCAACCTGCAAGAATAACGCTAAAGAAGGAATGCCTCTCCTTCCGCCCTTGTCTTCGATATCCAATCAAATTGGCTACACTGCAACTTCAAACAAGTAAACCCAATCAAATCAATGCAAAATTGCAAATTAGCCAAAAATATCAACAATTATTTTTAAATCAACATAAATGGCAAATTTAATTAGTTGGGGAAAATAGCAAAGCATCGAAACCTAAGTGCTAAAAGGTGCTAGACCACAGCTATCACCTAGGCGTCTAGTGGGGGCCTAGGTTTTATTTAGTGTTAATTAAATTTATCATAATAACATATGAATAAATGTTTACTTGTACTTATGCAAATACATAATTATATTGAGATACACAAGTAATAAAATAAAATGACATTAATTATAAAGTACTAAAACATATTGAAAATTACGACCAAAAATATAATGAGTGTTCATCCAGGTATCCAACAAGCCTACTACAATTTATTGATAAAATATAATACAAAATAAAAGTTATCTATTTTCTATTCATGTGAGAGTTATGATCTATGCAGTCTAAGCGGGCACCTAGGCAACCTTTTTAATTTTTTAAACGCTTGAGGAATAATCATGGTGGTGCATTGCCTAGAGCCTGAATGGTGCTTGTTAGATCACTGATCAAAACCCAAATGAAAGCCAAACAAATATCCAGAATAATATTACACAAAAGAAGAAAATTAAATCAGGAGAGAGAGAGAGAGAGGGAGAGAGAGAGAGAGAGAGAGAGAGCTTACAATTTGAGGAGGGAGCACTTGGTTGAAGGTGAATCAGACTGAGTTTGCAGTGTGACCTGAAAAGAAGAAGAACTAAGCGAGAGAGAAGTTAAATATGTTCATGAGTTTGGTTGGCAACCGTTAGTGTGTGCAACACAAAAATAAGAAGTCCACAATCAGCCACATGCACCTCCAGCTGACATTCTGTTGCCTTTTCTCGGATGGCATGATTTGGGCTTTTTACTGCTGCAACTTCTAGGCCCAGCTAACATTATAGTATTCAATAGGGTTAAATAAACCCGAATTGCAAACCAAGTAGAACTCATTTAAAAACCCCTGGTCAAGAGTCAATTCAATCCACCTAAGTAAATAGTAATTGATTGCAATGAATAATAATTATCCAAGTTCAACTCCATCCCTATGAGCAAATACGTTGGCACCCAGCTCATTTAATCCACTCAATGAATAGCGATAGACCCCAATGAATAGTAATTGGCCAAATGCATCTCCATCCCTAAAAAATACGCTAGCACAAACGATCTCCACCCCTTACAAAATGTGCTGGCACCCAGCCCACTTAAAATATTATTAATTTTTTTTATAAAATAAAAAAAAAAGTTTTAATTTCGGATAGGATTTTTAACCAATCTCGTCACGCCATATGTCATTATCCGAAAGTACTATTTTGTGGAAGATGGTGGTTAGGTATTTATAGAAAAAAATAATAAAGTTTTTTTTCTGTGTTTTTAAACAATTATTAATAATTTTTTATTAAGTTAATTAATCTAGACCGTTGGATTTGAAAAAGATTCAAATCCAACAACCTAGATGTTGACACGTGGCTAACAGTCATAATTCTGACCGTTGTGCATTTTTTTTTCATTTTTGGGCGAAAATCGTGGACCGTTGATCTTGGGATCAGACGTCCCAAAATGTGCCACGTCATTAGCCGTTGGATTTGATTTTCAAAATTTTTTAACCGTTGGAAATCCAACGGTCCAAAAAACTAGTCGTTGGAAATCCAATGGCCCATGCCGAAGCACGTGGCCAGCACATACCCCTTTTTCTTGTTGGGAACATGCGGCCACTCACGCATGTTTCCCATGCGCTTGGCGCAAAAAAAATTCAAAACTGGCCAGTGACGTCATGTTGACGCCAATGCGACGTCACATAGGTCGGACCTTGGCTCAGCACATTTTGGGCCAACCTAGAAGTTGGCTTGGGCTGGGCTGGAAGAGTTTTGGGGGGTGTTGGGCTGTTTTTTGTGCTTTGAGCCGACCTACCCCAATGGGGTGGAGTTGCTCTAAACTGAATTGCCTAGTCAATTCATATTAAAATATTATTATTATGCTTTTCGAATAGGATTTTTAACCAATATTGTCATGTCATGTGTCATTATCTGAAAGTACAATTTTTGTGGATATATTTTAATGGAGAATTTTAACCATTTCCGTAGCATCACATGTCATGATTTTGTAAGAATTTGGTGTGTTTTTGTAATTTTATCTGGTGTGTTTTTTATAAATTTATTGGATGTGTTTATGTAATTTTATTTGGTGTGTTTTTTTTTTTAAGTTTATTTGGTTTATTTTTGTAGTTTTATTTTGTCTGAATAAACATGCTCTTAGTTTAAATAAAGTACGCTATTTAATAAATATGAAACTACATAAAGTACTAAAAATAAATAAGAATTTACATAAACTACTAAAAATAAATAATAAATTACATAACATACTAAAAATAAATACGAAATTACATAAAGTACAATAAATATGAGACTACATAAAGTACTAAAAATAAATAAGAAATTGCATAAAGTCTTAGTAGCTAGGATCTTCGTTAGAATACAAAGATGCTTATTCGAGAGACTAGTTCATAGTGTCACGATCTTGTAGAGCCATCATTTCTTCTCTACGCATCTCCCTTTCTTAATTAAGTAGTTGTCTTTGTCTCTCATTATTCGCATCACGTCTCTCAATAGCTGCTAAGATTACTTGCATATTTGTAGCTTTTGCCTCATCTCTAGCCGCGTCTCATGCCAAGTTCAGTTCACCTTGGTGAGCAAGTTTGTCCCTATATTTTGTAGTCATTCTTAGAAGAACTCCCTTTTTTCACTACCACCTTTTTACCTTGAGGCATTAGTGATGGACGAGTCAGCTCTAACACTGCTTCAGGCATCCCTTTAGGCATTTCCCTTCCTGTTGGTCCAAGTCTGCTTTTGGCGAAGAGTGTAGAGGGATGCCATGCATGACAACTTCTGGACAAGTTGATACAAGCTTTGACAACATTCCAACGTTCCCAGCGGTTGAATGATTTGTTTTTGTTGTTCTCATTGTACCAAACTTATGCTTGAAGTGCCTATAAAATACAAGAGAAGACAATTTTATAATCAAGGTAATTAATGCGGGATAAGACAATATTATAAAATGCGGGTGTAATACAAATAAATAAATAAATATATTATCACCTGATCCGCTAAACTTATGCCACTACTTAGATTATTAGCAGCTTGAGAGAGGGCGTTTTTCCAACAAGTAAGCGATTGGTTGAGTTTCTTTTTTCCAATAACCTTGACAACTTTTTGATTTTTTCCCAAGTTTCTCGCAAAATGATGTTGTAATTTTACTCCAAAGTTCTCGCAACTGCATCTCATTACCTGTAATCGGGTTATTAGTAGCTTGAACCCAACATTCACACAACGTAACATCTTCGATGATCGTCTAATTAGCCATTTTTTTCACACAAAAGTATATGAAAATTTTGGTTGAAAGTGTCGAAAATATTAAAATGTGGTGTAAGGTGAAAGATGATGGTTAGGTATTTATAGAAAAAAAAATTTTCATTTTATTTTTTCTATATTTTTTTAAACAATTTTTAATATTTTTTAACAATTTTTATTAAGTTAATTAATCTGGATTGTTGGATTTCAAAAAGATTGAAATCCAACAGCCTAAAATTGGACACGTGGCAAACTGTAAGATTTCTGACATTTTCTTTATTTATTAATTTTTTTAAAGTTTTTTGGCCAAAAAACCTATACCATTAATCTAGAAATCGAATAGTCCAGATTTTGCCACGTCACTACCTGTTAGATTTCAAACTCTTGATTGTTGGATTTCCAACGGTCCAGAAAACTAGTTGTTCGAAATCCAATGGCCATCGCTGCGCCACGTGACCCAAGTCTCACTTCCTATAATGCACTTGCAGCGCGGGCCCACCCATCTGCGTGCTGTCGGGAACGCGCGCCCACCAGCACATATTTCTCACGCGCCTGGTGCAAAAAAAAAAAAAAAAAAAAAAAATCCTATCCGTGTCTGACATCATGCTGGCATTAGCCTGATGTCAAATGGGTTGGTTACTGGGTCAGTCCATTCTAAGCTAAGTAGATGGTTGGCCTCCACCCAAGCCCAGCTAATTGGATGGAGTGAAGTGGGTTTTTGTTTTGGGGGGGCGAAATGGGTTGTTGCCCAGCTCATTTGTGGAGAGGTGGACTTAATATGATAATCTCCACCAAATACATCAAACCATAAGAGGAAATCCACCACATGACCTCCCTCGATCATTATCTTTTTTTGTACAAAGTATCATTCATTATCTTTTTAAACGCATATACTTTGGACTAATGAGACTTATAATTTTTCTAATATTTTAAAGTAACTAAAGTTCCGTTGGCCAAAACGGACCCATTTGAGAGAACAGAAAAGAGAATAGAAAAAGAAACTATGCAACATTGAATATCCTTGCCAAAACGAAGCGTAATAATTTGTGCAGAAAAATGAACAGAGGCTGTTAATTTCCCTGAAACAGGAAAACGCAGTCTGGTAAGATGCCATTGACTGCCGCGAATAGAAAAGAACATTTATTTTCACTTGGCTGTTCAAGTTCCGATCATAGTAATCTCCACAACATTTATTTTCACTTGGCTGTTCAAGTTCCGATCATATGTAATCTCCACAACGTTCACTTACATGTGATCTGAGTCCGTCCACAATGTTTTCATTCACTCCTTTGAATAGATCGATGTAATTGTGTTTGTGTTCGTAACTATCCTTCAGTGTGTTGTTTGCAACCTTTAGGTCCGTAATGATGAGAGCCTCGCCTCACCATCTTCTTGCACAAATAGCAATAGTGGTTTTGACACGCCCAGCAGAACATGTGATTGTTATTGCCAATCTGGCCGGAAAAGTTTCTTGTTAGTCGTATTCACAAAACTTCGAAAACATAAAGGATAATTACTATACCATATGCTAGTGTGCTTGCTACGTCAAAATTTGCGAAAACCAAAAAACAGAATCAAAAAGAGAGCGACATAAGTTTCCTCAATATGTACAATCATCACTTAGGGCACATATTTGACTCACCTTGGCATTAAACTGACGACAATTAGGGCACACCTGACCATTCTGAACAAAGAGTTGAGCTTGAATCTGACCCAAAACCTGCCGTGGATTCATCTGTGCTTCCCAGTTCCGAATTTCTTCTTGCGGGAATAGTTCACATTCACCATCTCTTCAATTAAAACAAGTTAATTAGTTATACAGAAAGTAGGTATGTAAATATTCATGCATGTAGAAATCAACAATAGGAATAGCCTGTAAATACTTTAAATCGATTTAAGCACCTGAAATGATCATATCCGTCAATTTCCTTATCACAGCGGTAGCAGAAGTAGTGCCCACAGTTTTCACACACCATCTTGTTGCAGCCCCCAGTTTTGGATATTGCCATCTTACACGATGGGCATTGCTTTGCATCGCGAAGAATTTCCCTCACACTGAGAACCTCATTGATCATCTCAAGTTCTTTGCGTTTTTGATCATCCTTCAAGTGAGATGAACTCTGACGTTCCTGCTCAATAAATTCGTTTACAGTTAAATTCTAAGTCTACGAAAATGTAATGAAGTTTCTAACATACAATTAAGAAACTAGATGAATTGATTTTTCTCTAGCATATTAGCATGGCAGAAAACATGCCTTCAAACCCGAATTTTTATTATGAGTAGAATAATAACCATGTATCTTAGGATAAAAATTGTTCAATATTCTTTTTTCTCTTACGCATAATTAGATTCAAGTTGCAACAATAATCAATTGACATTGAAAAAATCAGATGAGAATAAAAATCTTTAGATGCATGCTGAACCAGAAACGAAAACAGAAATTTGTCTGTGTGAATGTGTGAAGAGGCAGAAAGCAGGGTTCTGGACCATTTAACTCAACCATTGCATATTCTTACTCAATGAACTCAGACTACACAGATAAACTTGTATACCTTAAACTATCTGATAAAAAAAGATGGGTAGTGGTATTCACACACCCCTTTTTACCTCTCACACACCCTTGTTAAGTTTTGTCCATTGAACTTCAATTCATTCGATCCGACGCCCGAAAAATGAGAGGGGTGTGTGAGAAGTAAAAATGGATGTGGATAGCACCACCCAAAAGGATATAGTATAAACCTTCACAACCAAATATATCTTTTACCAAACGTCAGTTGATTTTACCACAAAATCCTGCTTTGATGAAATGATAAACATGATAAAGCAGTTTAAATTTTACCTGCAAGATACGAAGCTTAAGCTCTGGTGTCATACATTCAACACCCACATGCCGCCGCTCCCTGCAAAGTGTGCAAAAGCTAAAGAAGCACTTTACGCATTGGGCATGCTGGTCTTCATCCGCTATGCAGGGAGTTTCACATCTTGAGCAGTACACGACATCCGACATTGACTCTAGTGTTTTAGTCAACATTAAGGAATCCCATCGTTCAAACTCTTCATCACCAAGCAATCGTTTTAACAAACCTGGTGGGATCATACTCCCACATTTTGCATCTGGACACTGCAGTTTGTGTACGGTGCCTTCCTTGACATGTATGTTAGAATAAGTCTTCATGCATCCCCCACAGAAGAAATGCCGGCATGGTAGCCTGATAAACTCAGTGCCTAGAAAGATACAGTAGTTAGTGCGATGAATAAGACCTGAAATTTTCATTAACAGATGGCACAGTGATAAACCGCCTACTAAGGATGAATCAATTAAGCTAATTACAAGGGCGTTTGACACGGTCAATCAACTACAAAGTAATTAAAATAAATTAAAAGGAAAAATTGGATACTGATAGATTCATCCTAAGGATGGAATACTCAAGAAATGCATTACAAGGATGTGGTTTAACAAAGACACAAGAATACAAGTTTTTAATGCATAGTTATGTATGTGCAGAAATCAGAAGGAAAAGGACTAGAAAAATATCACAAGTTACCAAAAAGTTAATTTTGATTTGACTTGTGTGATTCAAAAATGTTTTGAACTGTTGATCTTACTGCTAAACTCTAAATGATTTGACTGGAAATCCCAGACATAATTGTTTGAAGAATTATTTGGCTATGTGCATGCGAACAATGATCATACTAAAGTTAACCAGAATATATGTTCGTCATATAGCATATGAAAAAGAACGTATAGTGCCATCACTATTGATTATTCTCAAACTTGAAGAAAAATTAGTGTACTTTAAAGTGAACTCGCTGAATATATGTTTTATATTCCTCGGCACAAAAGGAAAAAAAAAAAAAAAAAGAGAGAAACATGACAGACCAATTTCATAATAGAAGTTAATTCTATATCAAATTCAAAAGAACCTATGTCATGAAAGAATATAATTACCTGCATACTCACTGAAACAGATGCAGCACTCGTGCAAATTATCGTGAAAGTTCTCAAGTAGTTTATCATCGTTGTAACTTTTAATAAACGGAATATCAACATCTGGAGAGACACTTCCTGTAACTGCACGTCTATCTACAGCAGCCCTTACACCATAAGGACCAAGAATTATTTCTTTATCAAACCCCAGATAAGAGAGAGAAGAATTTTGAAGCCATTCCACCCATTGGTACATAACCTCCTGTCCAGATTGTTCTGTCCATATTGAATCCAGCATAGAACACAAATTGGAGATTTTACTAGAATCCAGCCACTGAACAGATATTGAAAAATAAGGTGGTAGGTGACTTGGGTATGATTTAGGTAATATACACGTCAATATAATTGGTGGAAGATGCTGGACATTGAAAGGATATGAGAAGTCATCAGAACTGTTGCTTCTGGTCTTATGATCCGATGAATTCAACTTTGTAGTAACAGCAATTTCACCAGGAGCTTCGATGTGTATATGAATCTGCATATGCACAGGTGTCATATGAATTTCTTTCAAATAAATAATTAAAGGAACTCTAAAATCATGGATTATTGCCAAACCTGAAATGATCGAAGGTCTCTTTGTCTTTCAAAAATGCAAAAATGGTCTCCATAAATGGACTCCATAGCGAGCAACTGCCAAAAACATAATGATGAGAAAAAGTGCCAAAGAAAAAGAGCAATTGCACGCTGAAGAAATTAGAAAAAGTAACATAAAGGAGGCTCGAAATGCTCCTACATGTGAGGACCAAATTATATATCTCACATATAAACAGAGTCACATCCATCACCCTATCATTCATTGTTATGTTTCACTTTCAAACATGTTTATGTAGCAAAAAGTTAGAAAACGTGTGAGCACCAAATTATACCGATCTGTCACACCCCGAAACTGAGGGTGACTTATGGGGAGTTTTATAACAAATAAAAAGAAAACTTTGTGGTAGACCAAATCATGTAGAATTACCAGATCACTTGTACAAGTAAAAATGATAAAGATGAATTGAATCCTAGAAAGTAAAACAATAGAATGATTACATGTCGGATAACAGTTGTAAGAAAAAAAATTAAAAGTAAATGCATATGCTTATATAGACCAGCCAAAAGAAATTAAACCGATTTATAATTATGTTTAAAGCTTTCACATCACAAGAGATAGCACTAAAAAGGGTACGCTTAAAACAAATGGTTCACAATCACGAGACAACACTTTTGACACTCATTGTGACACACTGTTTAAATCATTAGATTGAATTAGATTGAAGCTTTCAATGGCTAGGCTTGTATCTAGATTATATTTTACTAGCTTGTTTTATTAACAGCAACTATTAAACATAGAAATGAATAAAATGTTTCAAACTTCTTTGATTATTTATACTCTCTTCTCCCTCTTTACTATGAATCATACTCGTCTCTCTCCTTCCACCCCTCAAAAACTTCATCTTCTTCTTTCTTGGCATACTGAGTACTGATTCTCAACTATCTTCTCCAATGCCTTTGTAGATATAATTAATTTTCTTTTTTTTTTCTTGACAATTCATTTCAAATCTGGGGACGAGGAATGCATAAAGACACATAAGGCATCCAAATTAAAAGTCGATCATTAATTTTCAAAAAACTTCAAGAGTAAAAGAAATTTATACCAGAACTAAATCCTAACCTATACTGGGTGCATATATGGAATTAGTCTTGAAGCAACTGTTGAATGGTATATAAATGAAAATTTCAAAGCTCGTGCGAGATTAACATTATTTAACTCGAATATTTCTGTCTCCATAGTCCATACAGCATACATGCTAGATTAAAATTACCTTATTCAATATTCTCTTTAACTCCGCCTGTGTAAGTTTATCTTACATTACCGGTCCCAAGCCCAGATAAAGGAGGAGGGGGAGGGCGTCAGGTAGTCGACAGCCGGCACTCCAAGGTTACGTCGAATCCTTATGATAATGAATCCTGAACTCAATATTCTCTTTGGTTTTTAACTCTTTTCTGGGTTCCTAAAGTTTGTTATGAGATGAATTTAAATCCCAACCTTTGAAGATGAAGCAAACCTCAAGAATATTTTTTTGGTAAGTGAATAATATGTCACCAATAAAGAACATGCAAAAGCCTGTTACAAATAACCACGATAACATCATAGACTCAAGAGTTTTCTTTCAGACTGAAGATGCTCTCCAGTAATTTTAAAAGTTCACGGTTATTTGTTTTTAACATTCCCCAATTCTATTTCTGTCACTATTTTTTTGCTCCCTCTGATGTTCCCAATTCTATTTCTTGTTCAAACTTAAAACAATAGAAGGGACTGTATATAATAGAAATATGACAAAATGAACCAATGTAATGGTATGGTTTTCACTATACCAAAACTAATACTAATTCAGTTCAAGAAAAGCCAAAGTGACAAATCAAATAAACTATCCAATTATCCATTAACTATTTTTCAAATCTGGAAACGACAACAAAAGCTCTTCCTAGGGAAATTCACTATTTATTCTATTCTTTCTCTGAAATTCACTATATAAATATTTATATTGTTTGAGACACAAGAAAAACTGAAGTGCTTCCATGGTCAATTTTACTGAATAATTTTCCATCCCCATTGATTTGATTTTTCATAAACCCAGGTAGATAAAACCAAAACACTTGCCCTGTACAACCTTTGTCCAGAAATGTCAAGACTCAAGAGCATGCTTTGCAAATAACTATGACTTGTGAATCGAAGAGAGGGCTGATAAGCGTAAGCAGGGAATCAAATTGCCCAGATTTTACTTTAAGAAAATAAGCAATGATGCAGAGATAAATACCAAGTGAACCTCAATTTTTAATACATGAGGTATCATCTAATAGACTAATATCCAACTAATGTGTGATTATTATTTGATACCACCAGCACGGTGGCACCGGGGAAATTCTCATGATTTCAGCACACTACAGCTAAATAAGTAAGCCTGAATTGAAATCCAAGCTACACTAACTAAGTTATACTTAAAAATGGTGGCAACAATTAAAGCTAGCATCAACGAGAACGTAAAAAAACTTGAAGGTCTCATATTACCTCATCCGCCTGAGCCTGATCATTGATCCTTAGCTGCTCGTCCGACAACTCGGGCTCTTGGACACCCAGCTGCAACTCTTCCAATCTACTCACCACATCATAATCATCATCCTCATGAGATTTTCTGGACTCCGACGCCCCAACGTCTTCCCCCGCAACACCAACACCAATAGCGATTCTCTCTTTTTCTTCTTCTTCTTCCTTTTCTTCATGTTCTTCTTGTTGCCCAGTTGCTGTCTCGACAATACGCCCAGACCCCACTTGATCGTTGGAAGAGCCCACCTCAGATTTCTTCACAAACTGCTGTTTGACCAGCGGGCCACGCCGATTCCGTGAAACCCAATTGGGATTTCTGGGCTTCTTTGGGTTTGGGATAAAATTTGGGGGTTTGGAGTGGCTTGTGGAGGCGGTGGGTTCAACCCTCTCTGGCTGGGAAGAGGAGTAAGGAAGTGCAGGTGAGTCAGGACCGTTGGGAGGTCGGAGCTTTTGTTTTCCACCTCCTCCTCCTCTGTCCTTTCCCATGGCAGATTCGCAATTAGTCTACCGGGGTCGAGGAAGAGAGAGACAGAAAGAGGAACGGCGGAGGTGTCGTGGGAAGGGATAACTGAGGTGTGGGTTTCTGTGCTTTCTTTATATGGAAAGGGAGACCCAGGAGTTATTTCAGTGTGCTAAATAAGGATACATTAACTAAGAATTGAATCCTCTCCGGATCCTTTGGGATCAATCAATCGTGTTCATTCGTCTTATATCGTGTGATTAGAAATTATTTTAAATTTTAAATTAAATAAAAATAGTATATAATAAAAACTGACCGGACGATATACGATGAATGAACAAAATTGATTGATTACCAGGATTTCCATAAACAGAGTCCGAAGAAGATTATTTTCTCATAAACTATAAGCTTGCCAATTTATATAATAACGTATAGTACGTCATTCTATTTTGAAACAAATTAAAAAGTCTTATCTAATAAAGATTGTATATCTCACTAAGGTAAAACCTATATTAACAAATATCACACCGTTCCATATGGATCCATTACCTGTTTAAGGGGTGTACATTAATATAATAGAGATAAAACCCATAACTTCTGTCTTTTGACACGAAAAACGTCCTAGCTTGAGGATGCTATTGTCATATTCCTTTAATTATCTTAATGGTCTTAAAAAGTATTAATGAAAGGACTTCAAATCTTTAATGTTTTATTTTTTAACGAACGATATTATCTACAATAAACGAGAGGGGGTGGGTTTAGCCTCACAATGGGCTAACAATAATACGATTCAAATTCGCCTTTTGCAAAACTTACTACTGAAGAGGAATACCACCAGACTGTAATACTAAGTGGCACAAAACTTTTAAGTTTTAACAAAAAATAACCTAATAGTTTTATTTAATGGTAAGGACAAACGATAGTATATACACAGTTTTTTAGCCAAAATGGTCTTTGAGATTTACATAACTCCTCACTTTGGTGCCTGAGATTTAAAATCAATAGAAGTAACTCCTGAGTTTGTCCACCAAAAAAAAATCTCCATTAAATAAGGTTAAAATGATAAAAATACCCTTAATTTTTATCAAATCATTTGGCCCATTGTTTATTAATTTGATGGTATTTTTGTTATTTTGGTCCTTATTTAATATAAATTTTCATTGAAGGACCAAAATGATTGATAGTGGACAAACTCAAGGACCACTTTTATTGATTTCAAATCTCAGTGACCAAAGTGATGAGTTATGCAAATCTCAAGGACTATTTTGGCTAAAAAGCCTATCTACACTAAGGGGGAGGATGTGAGTTTAGCCTCACAATGGACTAGCAATAATGTGGTTCAAATTAGCCTTTGATAAGAATTAAACTTAAGACCTTTCACTTACAAGTAAAGTTGAATAACACTAGACCGTAGTACCAAGTGATTTAAAATTTTAAGTTTAAACAAAAATAATCTAATAATTTTATTTAATGGTAAGGACAAAGGGAAGATAAAAAGACAAACAAGGCAGCGTGCACGACGTCAACCAGCCTTTTTGTGAGTTGATTACACTTTTGTTATATTCATAACAAAACCATAGCTTGGGACCACTGTTTTTGTTCCTTTTTGTAATTGTATATAATTTTCTTTTTTCTTTTTGTAATCGTACATAACTTTCCTATACGTGATCTTTAAGATTATGATGGATGACATATATAATTTTCTTTACGTCATCTTTTCTTTTTTGTAATTGTTATAATTTTTGTATTTTAATTTTGAACTTTTTGTTGTAAAAGTTGTGGGAATGAATGTTCACATGTTTTAGTTAAAAATGAAAAATGGGGAAAATTTAAGAATAGTAGCATTGTTATTGTTGTATGATGTTTTTCAAAATGCACTCATTTCACTTTTATAATTCTTCACGGATATGACTCTATATAAGGAGCATTCCTTGTATGATTACAACACACAACATAAAAGAAAAGAAGTGAAAGCAATAATATCAATATCTCTTCCTTCCCTTATTTACTTGCAATCATTTTGTGTTATAGTTACGAAACTAAACAGTGTGCATTGTACCTATTTCGCTCTTGTCTCTAGCAAATGTTATCTCTCTAACTTTTGCCTATTTATAACACGTTATCAGCACGACTCTCTAGCCTTAACCAGTTCCTATTTCCCTTCATCAAAAAATGCTTCCTCCAAGGATTTTATTGTTTTTCTTCCTTCTCTACCTCACCTGCTTGATGTACCCTTGCCAAGATCTTCTAGCACTATGCCTTCTCCTAGTTCTCAATATAACAATTACTTATATTTTTTATTTCTTATTTGGTGTAGCTTCTGATTACTAACTCAGTGCTTATTTATGTTAATTTTACTTCGTTTTAGATGGTGTGGTACAATTGCCCATCTTTGAACTACATATTTAACTTTTATTGCAATTTTAGGTGGTGCGGTATAATTGTCCACCCTCCACTACATATTTAAATTTTCTTACTGTTTGAGTGATGCGGCATAATCGCCCATCCTACGCTATATTATTTCAATGAGAGTGGTGCGGTACAATCACATTCCTCGTTAATTGTGTAAATCTTGAGCCTGAAGTTTCGAGTGCTTATCATATTGGCCTGAATGTCAAAATGAGAAATTTGTAAGAACCATAAATTCTAACACTACATTCCTCCATAATACATACTATTGCAAGTTCTTACACATCTTATTTTTCTTTTAGAAACAGAAAATGGCGAACTTGGCAAAACTTGATTTTGTTGCCTTTGATATTACTGGGAAAAACTACCTCATATGGGTAGTGGATGCCAAGATCCATTTGACGGCAAGAAACCTTAAAGACACCATCAAGGAGGGAAACAATGCATCATCTTAAGATTGGGTGAAGGCCATGATCTTGATTCGTCGCTACCTTGATGAAGGATGGAAGAGCGAGTACCTAGCAGTTGAAGATCCATTAGCTATCTGAAAGGCATTTTGAAATATATACAATCACCAGAAAACTGTCATTCTCCCAAGGACTCGTTATGAGTGGACACACTTGAGAATCCAGGATTTCAAGACGGTTGCTAAGTATAACTTTGAATGTTCAGAATTAGCTCCCAGATCAAACTTTGTGGGGAGAATATCATTGAGGAAGATATGCTGTAAAAAAACTTTCAACACCTTTCATGCTTCCAACATACTCTTGCAGCAGCACTATAGAGAGCGAGACTTTACCGAGTATAACTAGCTAATATTAATGTTCTTCGTGGCTGAATAGAACAATGAGCTCCTGATAAAAAGTCATCAGTCCCAACCTACTGGATCGATGTTATTCCTAGAAGTGAATGATGATTCCCTTGAAGTGAATATCACATCCTCTTATGGCAATAATTACAAACGAGGATGTGGCCACAGGTGAGACCGGTGGAATGGGAAATGTAAGAATCATGGTGTCCAGTTTTACAACCAAGGTCCAAGGCATAATTCAAGCCCAAGCTTCATAAATGTAAATTGCCATAAGGGTAAAGCTCATATGAATAGCTGTAATATCCCCACAAAATTTTAGGTGGTGATTATGAGTAGATTTCTTGTGGCCATTAAAAGTTCTCTTACTTTTGAGACCAAGCCATGGCTTGGAAAAAAAAAAAAAAAAAAAAAAAAAAAAAGGAAAAGCTGACGTTAGAAAAAGGGGATGGGGTTTCTAAAAACCCCCTCAATTAGCTGCTTCCCCTTCCAGCCGAAAGAAATGAAAGGGTTATCCCTTTTTAGCTCTTAACTTGTCAAAAAAGGAAATCTAAGGAAGAGGAGTTAGTTTTCTTTGCTTGTGAAGACTAGAACAAGTGAGGATCTTTCCCTTGTCTCCATTTAAGGTATCTATTTCTTACCTTTAGGATCTATTTGATTTTTTTGTTTTTGGTTTGTTAACCCAGGAATTGGCTTGGGTGGGAGTAGGAATCATAATTCATGTTCTAGTTTTAGAGTTGAGCACCAAGTGTTTGATTAAAGTCCCCAATTAATCTTGAATTAGGGTATGTTGTTTGGTATTTGTATAAGTGGTGTGTGATGGTTTTTCTTACTTATAGAAGGAAGAGAAGGACAAGGGGACTACAGAACAAGTCAACGAACACCCTGGAAGTTGAATGTCAAGAAATTTAGTTTGAGGGAGAGGTGCTTTAACCATAAAAATATTTTGATTTTTCAAATTGTGAAAGTAGATGAAAAGTCGTATCATACCTGTGCCAGATGTGAATGTTAAGAAATGTATGAATGGGCACAATGACCCATGAAGTTATTTGATTATGGGCACAATGACCCAAGGTTCCCCGGGGAAAGCTCTATGTGTGGGGGCTGTGAGAATGAGTTACGAAAGTGATAAATACATGTGATATGAATATTGGTCAAGTATATTACGGTTCTTTCCAATCTGCTTGTCACTTGTTTGGGATAAAAGAAAATCTTTATGATTTGTTGTGCTAGTGATTCTTTAAATGGTAATGGCTTTGTTATCTTCATGACAAAAGAGGTGACTTTGAACTTGTGTGTTGTACCATTGTTATCAAGCTATTGATGCTCCGAAATCTTTGTTTTCTGTCATATGTTATTTTCCAGAAACTTTTGAGCATATTTCAGATTTGTTGGATTACGTAGTTGTGAATATAAGTGGTTTTGAATCACACTTACTACTTTCGGCATGCATTAGAAATTTTAAATGACTATGAATTTACCCCTACTGGGCATTTTATGCTTACCCTGTTTTTCCTAAACATGTACTTTCAGGTGTGTAAGGTCGACTAGCTGAGTTTCAAGTGGCAGCTCTAGTGTGGGCTAGTTGAAGGGAGTCCAGGAGTACATATCTTTTGGGTGAGCTGCCAAAGTGTTGTATAGTTAGTCTCTGTCTGTAATCGATCCTTGTGTTGTGTAGCAGACTAAGTTGTTGTAGATCTCAGTGGGTTAGAGTCTCTACTTACTTGGGCTATGAGAACCATGTATATATAATACTACTCATCTTTTGTCTCGTATAGTTTTTTTTGGACTGGTGTTAAAGATATATTCCGCTACCTTAAAGGTATAACGGATCTGGGCTTGTTCTACCTCTATGTATCCTCGAGTGATGCCGTACCCCCTTATCTCGAGTCAATTCTTACCTTGTTGGTTATGCCGACGTAGGATACTTATTTGATCCACATAAGGCGCGTTCTCAAATGGGTTATATCTTTACCGTTGGAGGCACCACAATCTCTTGGAGGTCAACTAAATAGACCTTAGTTGCCACTTCGTCTAACCATGCTGAAATTCTTGCCTTACACCAAGTAACTTGGGAATGCTTTTGGTTAAGAGCAGTTGTGGGCCATATTCGAAGCTCCTACGATCTTTACCCCATCGTTGCCATCCCGACGACAATCTAATAAGACAACATAACATGCATCAAACAGCAAGGAGACAACACAAAGCACATTGCGCCGAAGTTCTTTTTCTCACATCAACAACCAGAGCATCAGAAGATTGAAGTCACGCAAATCCATTCACAAGATAATCTGGCCAACCTCTTCACTAAATTAGTACTAAAGGCGACGTTCTTGTTCAAGGGATTGGTATGTGTAAACTTTCTGAGTTGTAACATTGTTGGTTCTCTTTGGAATTGTGTCAAACTCAATGGGAGTATCCTGAAGTATTCTTGCTTGATCTTAATGTATTCTTTTTCCCTACAACTAGGATCATTTTTCCCATTGAGTTTTTTTACCTAACGAGGTTTTGACGAGGCACCCATCTTGGGTTGATCATAACTACGATGACGTCCCGTAGACGTTTCATTTGACTTTGCATTACTCACACATTTTTCCTTAGATTATAGATTTTGTCCCTACTCGGGTTTTTACCATAGCCATAGGGTTTTTTGTGAGACTTACTGCCTTATGCAAGTTCTTACCTTATTTGAGACTAGTGTGTTCCCAGATTCAGTGCCGAAGAGTTAACTTCCTCAACTCTACATGATGCCGAATCTACTTGAGTATTTACACACTCAAAGGGGAGTGTTATAAACTTTTTATTTAAGTGTGATTGTGTAAATTCTAGATTAGATTTTATTCTAGTTATTCTTTACTATTAGGACTTGTATTCCTTGGAGGAGAAAGATTTTTTTCCTCCCTTATTACTATAAATAAAGGCACTGCGTAGGGCGGAATAACATATCCTCTACACAACCCTACAAACACATCTCTCTCTATATTTTCTCTGTGTCATGGGCCTCCTCTCTTTGTCAGTTAAATATAGGCCACAACAATAAAATATTTGTTTAGTTGTATTTCCTAATGTAGCAAAGAGGCAAGAGCGTAAACCTCAGAAACATACATATGGTTGGAATTAGGGAAACCAACAGTTCGATTAGTCCTAAGTAAACAAAAAGCCGACTTAATTACTCCAAAAACGTGCTTTAAGTTGTTGAGTATATGACCATCCAATTAACACCTTGAGATTGTCAGAAAATACAATAGGAGAAGGCCACTTCTAGTAAGTAGTAACTCATCTTATCTCTTAAAAGATGCTTATTTGTTGCTAAGTAAATCTATCACAAATCTTAAACAATGTTAATTAACTTAATTTTATTGATATTTGCAAGTGATTAGATTAAGAACTTGGAAGTGAGGATTTTCAATTTTTCCAAGAAGGTGATTGGAGGAAACTGAGTTTTATTGTGTAGCTTGTAAAAGGGGAAAGAAAGGTCGAATCTTTAGGTATGCAGATGGTGTTCGGGACTCTGGGTAGCCTCGGAGATGGGTTGATGACGCCGCTGACTATGCTCGTTCTCAGCCGTGTGATCAACGAGTATGGAGGTGCTACTTTTACTTTCTCCAATGAAGTTGTGGACAAGGCATGCGGGATTACAAAATGTAATGAACTTTGGCTATAATTTTTTACTTATTTGGCTAACAGAGTACTAATATTTTTTCCAGTACGCAATGAGGCTACTAATTTGGTTTCGGTTCAGTTTGGTTCAGTTTCTCTAATTAGGTTTTTTTCTTTTTTTCCGTTTTCGATTTTTCAGTTTTGGTTCGGTATTCGGTTCTCTTATTTTCGATTTTTGGATTTTTTGAACCTAGCCCAATTGACCAACTCCAATGGTCGGGGTTTTAACCTAAAATTTAAGCACTAACCTATAAACATTTTTTCTCCTCCAATGGTTTTGGCTTAAAATTTCAATCTGAGATTATTAAAGAATGATTTTACCTAATCTTTTTTTTTTCCGGCAACTTTTAAAAGAATAAAATGCATGTAGATGGGTTGTTTTATACACACCCTACATTTTGTTGACTACACCCTACATACTTAATACATCCTACGTTTACTTTTTAGATTAAAATTTATCTTAATACACCTCACTTACTTTCCAATACTACCCTTACATCCACACTCTTTGTGAAATTTAAGATTTTTTTTTTATATTCTCTATTCAATTTTCTGCACTTTTAGTTTTGTCCACTCGAGGGTTTAGTCTTCCATCAATTTTCTACACATTTAGTTATGTTTATAGATTTTTTCTTATTTCAATTTTTTATGAAAATATGACTTTCATTAACATAAGGAATCAACAGACAGTACAAGAGGAGAGAGCCAAGTAAGCTCCTCTTCAATCCCAGATTTAAAATCATAAGCACGAACTGCATATTGAGCAAGTTCATGAGCCACATCAAGCTCTGTTCTACCATTGACAAAAAAACATTTGAAACTTTTTCCCAACATTTGTATATTCTCCATGACACAAACCTCTGGACCCATATAATCCTCCATAGACGTAATATCAACCACCACCACTCCCTTCGTGTCGAGCTTGAGAACAATATCCCTAAGGCCTAAATTGAAAGCAAACATAAACGTTTCTTTTCTGCAGACATTTCAGCGGCTTTAACTGAAAGGCACTCCTGCATTGGTTTTGATTCGAATTATTGTGAAAGTGTTACTTTTTAAAGTTGAAATTTATTTTATTTTTTATTTTTTTGTTTGTGAATGTTCTGCGGTAGGTTTTGACATACCTCCTAATGTCATCACTCAATGCATCACCATTGACTTCTTTAGAGATCCTCTTGTCCCACAATGCACGTAGTTTGGTGTCGTCGTCGATCTCAAGCTTCTTCTGGCACCCGATGGTGGGATTAACAATGTTAAACTTCATGTTTGCTCAGCCACCGGCAGGATGCTCCGCTTGCTAAACCACTCGAATTTGCCGAGCTCCTGGTAGCTTGTTTCTTGAAATTTTTTGCTCAACTAATTTGATTGTTTTACTTCAACTAATTTGGTTTTTGTGGGCTAGATAGTCATTTCATATAAAAGTATATATCATTTAATAATAAATTTTTATGTGGGGTGTATTTAATAATGAAAAATCACCAAAACCTACCTCATTCTTAAACACAAATACCTGGGTGGGTAGAAAAAAAGAAGAAGGAAGAATCGTATGATGAAAGTGAATTATGTGTGGATGTTTGAACAAATATGTATGTATTTATAGAGTTTTTTGATGAATTTTGATTTAAATAATTTTTTAAAGTTTTAGCCATCAGATTTAACTTTGGGTCGTTATATCAATTTTTTTTTACCGTTAGATTACTCATATTTGATCTCAGTGGTTGGTGTAATGAATTTATAAATTATTATTTTTTTAAATAAATTTGAACATGGACTAATGCCCGACATCTTCAGCAGTTGGGTCATAGCGCTAGGTCTTAGCCATTATAGTTGGCTCATTTTCTGGGCTAAACGTGACCCAAAAATCAAATTGGACAGCACCGAACAATTTGATTTTTACAATTTTGAAATGGTTTTAGTTTAAAACTGAATGGCATAATATAAAAACTATTTAATTTAATTAGAAAGTTAGGTGTTGGGGTGTAATTGGTTATTTGGTGGAATCCATACATGGATTTGGATACTTGAATTTTAGTATAGTGGTTATTGGTTTCTGTGATTTGTTTTTCCTTTTGATTTTGAAACAAACCCAAAAATAATTTCTTCAATTTTAGTAGGGTGATTATCAATTTTAGGAGCCAAAACAAACTGAAAAAGCTATAAAAAAAAATTTGGGAAACCCAAACCGAAACAACCATGTAAGGTAAGCCTAATTTTTTAACGGGCCTATAAGCTAGGCTCAAATTGAAACTAAAGATGTTTGAAACCGAACCGAACCAAAACAGAATGATTCAGTTTCACTTCAGTTTAAATTATCTAAACTCTCCTCTCCCAAATTAATGTAATAGTTTTGAACTCTCACCCTTCCTCTAATAATAATAACTTTTCAAAAAGCTTAACCTCATACCCCCTTCTCATCACTTTCTACTTCTCTACTAACCTACACAATAGAATGGTTAAGTAGTCGAGCTATCGGTTGCATGTGTTCTTTTTTCTTTTCTCCCATCATTTGTTCTTCTACCTTTTTTATCACTTAAATTTGGCAAATTGGCTTTTTTTTTTTTTTTTTCAGTTTTATAATCCAATGTATACGTATGTATATGATCAAAAACTAAAATTTAAGAGTAAAATGATGCATAAAATTAGGGAAGTTATTTTGTTACCTATATTAAATGTAATCAAGTTGATGATGTGGATAAGTGGGTTTTCCTATAATTTATATAATTGGCTGGGTCTAAGTTAAAAGATAAAAGTCCAGTAAAAAATATATATATGGGTACAAATTAAAAATAAAATTTTAATTACCGTACTAAAAATGTATGGTTTGGTACAAATACCGTACTATTACTGATTGGTGCAAAATTTCGGCATAAATTTGGTATGGTACAATAATTTGGCAAAAAATCCCAACCCCACCCTTTACAATTTAAGCCTTGATAGCCTTCATTAACCTCGATTGCCTCAATCAGCCTCCATTTGAAATTAACGTGCGTCTGACTTTTGCTATGATCTCCCCCACATTTTAGGCCCAAGATTTGAACTTTGCTATGATCTTCCCCACATCCCAACTCCTTTAGACCAGGAATGTGGTAAGAAAGTGAATTGGGCTCACTTGGAATGAACCACCTATTGAAGTGTGCTTGCTTATCTCAAACAAGGAATGACAAATGT